TGAGACTCTTGATGGTCTAGCCCCTGCCTCCCCAGGCACCGCATCCAACACTCTATTCTCCAGTTTTGCTGAAGAGCCTGTGATCCCACAAACACGCCGCCTACCCTACGGCTTTGAGCCTTTGCCCACACTGTCCCCTCCACCTACACTAGGTTCCCCCCCAATATTCTCTTCCCTAGTTTGAGAAGTCCTTTCACTCCTCGGGTTCCAGGTCAGCAGGCCCCTCAGGGAGGCGTTCCTTGACCTCCTAGGACAACAGCAATGTCGTCCCTGTGTTTCCGTTGCCCTATTTATTTCCCCATTGAAGTTGTGTACAAAGTTGAGTTCTGCTATAAAGATTGCAACAGGGACTTGTCGTCATATTCTGCATCAGAAAGCCATTTCTGGAGCTATAGCAGTTCCCAACATACACGCAAATATGAATGTAAAGACCAAAAAGGAAATTAGTCTTCTGGGGAAGAGAAGTTCCATTTCAGAACAGAATAGCATGGGCTCTGTGTCTCAGTACTTTAGCAGTAGTTTATTTGCCCATAATTTTGTTTTGTTTCCTTTGACTTGTTTTTCTCCCAGTATGTGGGTGGCTACAGGAAATCTTGGGTAGGGATGGCTTTGGAAAGGTCAAACTTGGAAGAAAGTCGTAGTGTGCAGGGAGTGGCAAGGGACACAAACGAAGTTTTCCTGGACAGGCAAGGCCTGCCTGTCCTCTTTGCTCAGTGGAATGTCACCCTGGCAGGGTGGAAGCCCTGTTCTTCTTCCAGAAGTCTTGGCCCATCACTGCCTTTGTGACTTGACAGTCTTGTCCCCAGGGAGGGAGCTGCGCTCATTGCTGTACCATGGGGATGCTGCACTGTGACTGACACTCGGTGGGATGCTGCTTTTCACTGCAGGGCTCTGGGGAAGACTGTGACACCGTGTTAAGGAAATGATGGGGTTGAAAAGGAGCATGTGAAACTTCACAAAACTAAAATTAGAATAGCTTACAACAGATAGCAGTTAAGAAAAGTGAGAAAGGTTCCAACTAAATACCTAGGGATTAATTTCTTTAAAAGCATGCTGTTTAAGGTCATGGACTTCCGTAGGTGAAATAATGTCATGTTAAACTTTCTCAACTCAAACTTATTTAAATCACCAAATGTGTATCAAACATTGTGTTAGGTGTGTGGTGGTAGGCAGTGTGCTGGGTGCTGGGTACCAAGGTGACTAGGACATGATCCTTATCCACTTTCACACTAGAGACACTAGAAAGTTCTGGCGAGGAATGCTGTGTTCCAGGTCATGACTCCCGGCAACCCAGAAACCCACTAGGGCCTGTGATAACAAGGCCAGCCCAGGAGGGATGCAAGGGTGGGGTGAGGGAGCAGAGGGCTCCCCATTGCTTCCAGGTGTGTGCTAAGGTCATCACCACTGCCCAAGGCTGTTCCTCCTATCCACCCTTGGGTGGGGTCTGTAGAACACGTGGCCCATCAGGGCCAGCACTCTCCGAGAAGGACTGAGAGTTTGTACTAAGACCTCTGTGCACCTGTTCTCATTTGAAAATTGCTGGTCTCAAGAGGCTCCCTGGTGGTGAACAAAGTTGCTATTTGCCCTCAGTCAGCTTGAAAGATCTTCCACTGTGATCCAGCCACCACCACCCCCATTTTGACAACTTTTCTGTGACCTTAGCTATTCCCCCTTTACCACACCACCCCCACCCCCGCTGATATCTTAGACAATACAAAACCTCTGGCTACTTTTGGAAATGATGCTGTAACTTCTATAGGACCTGCAAGGAATCTCAATGAAAGCGGAGGTCAACCTGTCATGGATCTAGTGTCCTCTGAGCCTTCCTGGTGGCAGAGAACACTGGATGGTGCCTGTTTGCAGCTGGCACTCTGATACCACTGTGCTTCTCCGTACTTCATCTGCCAGGGTCCCAGTCATGCCCTTCATCAGTTGGTGCCAGAGCCATTTTGTTTCTGAAATGATACTGATGTTCCCAGGCTAGCCAATCAAGGCCTTCTTAGAACATAGCTGTGAGGATTTTGCACTTTGCAGATTCTCACCCCCCTGCCTGATGTCTCATGCTTCCTGCCCCCAATATTCCTGAATTATCTCTCTCAGTCCTCACTGGTTTCTGTTCTCTTCGCAAATGCATGGTCAAGGATAACTTGGAGTCCTCACTAGATTTGAATTATCCTAGGGCACCTCAGTGAAAGCCCAGTGACCTAGCTCTACCCTGGGTGGTACTGGGAGGTGGGAGGTGGGAGATTTTTTTTAGTATATGTACCTACTCAACATCTATGAGCTTCAGTGGTCTCCAGTAGTACAATAAACTCATGCTCTGTAGATGTACCTACTCTCTGTCCTTCATTCCTATCTTCCAGTATTAGAGCTGGGAGAGGGCACAGAGACGTGGGTCATAATCTCCAAAGCTTTCACACAAATTGCTTCTATTCCCAGAACCCTTGACGTAGAAATATTCATTAACCATCTCCACCTATTTCCTGTGCGGTCCCCACCCCACTGATAGCTGGTGGCTGCAGGTTGCCTACGGATGTCTGCTGTTAGCCGAATCCTGGACTGTGCTGCACAGCCATAGAGTCCACCTGTTTAGTCTTGTTTACAGGGCCACAGGCCACTGACTGCTGGGCAAAGTGTGTTCTTAAGAAAGGATCTAAATTGGAATTCATCCTCTGCTAGATGATAAGGTGGCATGTCTAACTGAAATTCCAAGGACTGGGGTCTCGCTGCCAGTGAGTATGCTCCTTAGGGAGCTGTTTTGAAGGTGTGAGTACAGTCCCCTGGCACCAAAGTGCCAGTGGTCACAGATACCTCTGTACAGGAGGCCCGTCTCTCCCATCACTTCATGTCCAAGAGTGTGAGGGGTCATTCCTCTCTCTTTGGGTAGCTCAAGAAACTCAGTGAACTTCCAAGTCAAGAGCCTCTATTATTACAATTCCAGGAACGCAGGTTAGTGTAGGCCTGGAAGCTATCCATGGGTGGTCCCTGGACCAGCATCAGCACCATCTGGCAACTTGTCAGAAGTGCAAATTCTTGGGTTCTGCTGCAGATCTACCGAATCAGAAAAGCCAGAGGTGGGGCCCAGTGGCCTATGTTTCAGCAATGTCCAGGTTATGCTAATGGAGTCTCAGTGGGGACCCACTGGGATTGGGGTTAAGGGCACGGAGTCAGATTGCAGGTCAAAATCCTGACTCCACTGTGGTGTGATCTAGGAAAGGTCTTTGTCTCTCAGTTTACTCGTCTGAAAACTGGGGATGATATGGTATCTGCTAGTACTTCACAAGAAAACTGTGAAGAAAAGAGTTAATACATGCAAAGTATTCAGAACCTGCTTGGCATAGGGAACCTGTTCAGGAATGTTAGTTTTCATCAGAGGTAGTTACTGCTGTCTGATTACACACAGGAAGGAAACAGAGGCTCAGAAAGGTTAATATTGGCCCTGTGCTGCAGAGGAAGGCACCATGTCTCCTTACTAGAGACACACAGAATTTGGGGGTGAGGATGTGGGGAAGCCTGGCATGTGACACGTGCTGGGCATCTACTTGGAGGTGGGTGCACGTCACAAGCTTGGTCATGCCCCTCCCATCGAGAACTACACTTTCGGGTGCCCTGGCCTTGGCTCTGCTAACCTCTCGCGCTTTTCCTTTGCTACCTTTGAGTTCTCTCTCTGTCTCTCTCTGTCCTTCCTAGGATCTCATGGCCATAACACGACCTCTACCCTGACCTTGCTTTGTCCATGGCCAGAAGGTGGGCTGGCACTGGTGGAGAGACAGTGAAGATTTCAGGTTAAGGATGCTGCCTGAGCAATTTGGTAACAAATTAAAATTCATTCCTGTGGAAAATTGAGAGTAGATTAGTTGAATTTCTGAGCCTTGTACAACACTTCATGGATTGAGGTCTTTGGGGTAATTAGCAAATTGTGCATGGAATTGGTAAGCTTTAACAAGGGGAATTTTTCTGTTTTCCAATGATGTGACTGGATTGGAGTTCTTTACAGCCATATGTGAATCTTCTGAGAAGTTCTGCCCATCTTCTCCTGTCCCCCAGGGACTCAGCACAGGGTGGTGCTTTAAGATAGGGCTGCCCTGTGTTGGAGCTGTATACCTAGGCCTATGAGTCTCTTTAAGGGGCTTGTGAAGGTAAGGACTCCCGCAAATACAAAGGTATCTTGGATCAGGGAAAAGGCTCATCTTGGGGCAAGTGATAGTGGGATGCAGGCAGATAAAGTTCAGGACCCTTGTAAGTTTCAAAAAAAGCCCCAATCCAACTCAGCCACTTAGATAGACGTCAGTTGCTCTGCTTGGTTATGCTCTATACAGATAAAACTCAGCCATTCAAAAGTTCACTTCACTGGATAGACCTCAGCTGCTCTGACTGGTTGTGCCCTATGCAAATGAAGCACTGAACTTCCAGACAGTCAGGAGTGAGTTGTGATGTCATTAGTTCAGTTCTCTATTAGGTCTGGGTGGGGGTGGGACTTCCTCCTTTCAGGAGGCAATATACATCCCACACACCACAGCTCAGACATCCTCCTCCCAGGGAGCCCCTCCTGATTGGCAGGGTCTTTCTCTTTTCACTCATTCAAAGAGCTTTGCTGGTTGCTCCATGCTCTTGTCTGCTGGCTTCATTCTTCACTGCCTCCGAGACACTATCCTGGGAGAACACAGCATTCTGGTGGGTAACCATCTTATCTTAAATATGTGTCAAAATAGCTACATGGAAACTGTGGCTCCTTCTGCTGTCTCACACCCTTCCCCTCCACCTGCAGGTTCATAGACATACCACATGCAAGCAGTCCAAAGTGGTCTTTAGTGGCTTTTACACAATTGGCTTGGATCTGAACTTCTCAAATGAAGTGTATAAACTGCATTCAGGGCTGATAGTGCATAATTGTGATTGTTTATGTTTATTTGCCAGTGACGTCTTAAGCCATACCTTTGAAGCTTCAGAGCCTCATATTTATTCAGTTCTTCCTTTGGGTCACATCAGTGAGAGTGATTCCAGTATATTCTGCTTCATGGGAGTACCACTGTCTGGGATATATTCCGTCTCTCCCATATTAGGGGGGAGAAGGACAGTTAGGGATTCTCCTGTAACTTGGGGACAGACCCACTGGGGTCTGGGAACACACACTCGGACACCATTCTATGTAAACCCAGACATGCTTCTGCTCATTTTAATTAGACAGATAAAATTAGCAAGGAGATTCAGGTAAAAGGAGAAATCAAAAATATTCAAATGTTAGGTAGAATTTACAAAAGTGAATTGAACAATGAGATACAAGAAGGAATGCAGAGAAACACAGACACATTTGAAACATTCTTCGGATGCCACACGGCGTCATCCAGTCCACAGATAAGGTAAGAAGGATTATCCCTTGCCACCTCTTGCCTTACAGATTCCAGGGATGTGGAAGAACATTCTCCAGGAACACTTTCCTCCTCCTTCTCTTCGGATATCACCGAGAATAATTAATCCATCAGTGTCATTCTAGAATGGCCCGCACTGCATCCAATTCAAACCCCTCACCTGTTTCCTGTCTGGACTTGCAAGCTCTTGAGAGATTTTCCCTCCTTTCACTTTACTTTTCACTCCACCCTCTCTCCCCATTGAGCCATTAGGCCAATTCGGCCAACAAGAAAACCAAACCAACAGAATGTTCCGGCCCCTTTGGACTTCGCAGGGGCAGAGACCTCCCAGCTCTTCTTTCTTGTTTGCATCTGTTATGAACGAGCACAGTCATTTTATAACGCAGACATACATACGTGTGCTCTTGCACACGGAAACAGGTCTTTCTTTTTTTGTTTTTGTTTTTTGTTTTTCCCAATTTGTGGTTTCTTTTTCCTTTTTGCAGAAAATGCAAACAAAAGAAAAACAAGGTTTTCCATTGAAGGTACATCTCTTCTTCAATATGAAGACATTAATTGAATTGGTCGGATCCCCCATGCAGTGGTCAGCAAAGTCCTTTGGCAACTGACAGAACATCTGGAGACTCAGGAGCTGGGGTTTGTTTGAAGGAACGTCCCTACGCGAGTCATGAGCAAAGGGAAATGGGTGTGGGGAAGGGGGCAGACTCCTGGGGAGGAGTAGAAAGGAGAAAAGAAAAGAATGTCATTGGTGAGGAAGGAAATGGAAAACTGCTTCGGTTTCTTCCCTCCTACCTCCTTCCCTTTCTTCCTGTGGATGGACGATTCCAGCTCACTGAGGTTGGGAGCTGAGTTTACTGGTGCCCCGATGCATACTCTTTTTTCTTCACCTTTTTCCATATTTTAATTATTATGTATTTGGTTTCCCACAGCATCTCACACAAGCTTCTGGCACCAAGAAACTGAGGTTGTTTATTAGGAACAGGTCCAGTTTATTCTTCACCGATGTAAGGCATTTCTCAGCTGAGAAGCCAGTCTCTCCGGAACATTCCACAGTGGTCAACCTCTGGGTCCCCCTTGAGCCCAGTCCTCTTCCTTCCTCTCCTCTCCACAGAAAATGAGAGTTTATGCCATTGCCGTTGGTGACTGACTCATCTGGACCCTCATCGAATGAATGCTGTTCAGGATCTTTTTCTGATGACCTGCCAAGGTGACACCTATTCTCAGGAGGTCTCTAGGAGGGAAAAAGCCACAAAAGAAGGTACTTTAGTGTTAGGGCAGCTTTTCACAGATCAAAATTCATCACAGATGACAAGCTCCTGACATAGTTGGGTAGGCAAATAAAAGTGTTTAAAATCCACTGAGACCAAGTTTACCTGAGTCTTTAACAAACACCGGCCTAGATATTTTCTCACTCAATCTCACTTTCTCCATGCAGTGATCCCTGTCCCCAACTTAGACAACCCTGGAAGTGTCATGCCTTCATCCTCACCTGTGGGTTCTGGCACAGCCCCTTCATTGTGTCCGTGATCTGAGGTGGACTAGAACTTTCCTCTGTTATTTTTTTTTTGACACTCCAAGCACACACTGAATGGGGCTTCAGTTATTCTGTGGTGCTTTCTGCCTAAATCAGTGATCACCCACTGAGATTGAAAAGATGTGGGGCTTGCTTGGTTTTCTGATGTTTTTCCCCTGAGTTTCCATTTTCTGCCTCTGTTTGAATTTTGATGCCATGAATTTTTAAGAAGGGTGATCTTAAAATAACTTTCAAATATCTGTCTAAGCAGAAAGCCAGGGAATATGTTTTGGATAGGGGTTTGGATTAAATTCATCTCTAAGCTGTGGTCTTAAAATGAGCAAGTTCATGGCTTATGTTTGATTTTGGGGAGATGCATGCATCTTTCCTTAGTTAATAACAACAGTATATAGCATTGCCTGAGTGCTTCCCGTGAGCCGTATACCACCTCATTTACACCTATGGAAGCACTGTGGGAAAACAGACAAAACACTCAAAGTCAATGATAATAATTTAACAGCAATCATTTCTCATGGGCATCCTGTAGGCAAGCAATAGGCCAAGTGCTTTGCATATGCTATTCCACTTACTACAAACCGATGAGATGGACACTATTATTATGTGCACATTTATAGGCAAGGCAAGCAGTGCTCAGAGAAGTTAGGTAACGTGCTCAAGATCACACAGCAGGCAAGTGGTGGTACAGCTGGTGTTCAAAGTCGAGACTACCTAGTTCTCAGCCACACTGCAGGGCTGCTCTCAGAATTCTTCTAAGGTCCCACTATATTCCCTCCGTGCCCCTGTCCCCAGCATAGCAGATCACTTTATAGTCCGTGCACCAGAGCCACACAGAGCACCCTGCGCTGGACCTCCATCCACAATGCCTCAGTTATCCTGAACCCCTTCTTTCAAATGGCAGGCTGCAGCTGCTTTGGATTGTCCAAGTGCCATGTCTTTTCAGCAAACATTTCTGAGAGGCATGTTTAACTTTTGAATTCACAAATTGTCTTGAAATCTGTTTTATTTAGTTGCTCATATTCTTTTCCCATCCTTTATCTCTCAAGAAACTAACTACATTGCTCCAGTAGCATGTGGACATCTTTTACTTTGAACTAAATGCCTTAATTTTCAGTTTCACTTTCCTTTTAGTCCTCCCCTGGCGTTTTTCCATGTGGCCCTTCCAGGACTGAGGGAATTACTCCTCTGAGTCCTTCCATTTGTGGGGATCACGTGACAATGTCCCCCCACCCCACTCTGCTCAGCCATATCAGGGTGCAGAAAGGGGAGCCCCGCCAGCATGGACACCCACTTCTCCCCCTGAACCCAGCTTTCCAATCATCTAGGGCATCCATTTTTAGCTCTGCAGGATGTAGAAGCTGGTTTTTCACAGTGAAGTGCTTCTGTTTTATTTTTATTTTTGGTGTCTGACAATAATTCATAATGGCAGGGACTGTCTTTTTTAGGCATCAACAGAAAAATGAACCCAGATTTAAAAATATGAATTCTGGTAGTTAGTGGGTCTGAAGCTGGATGCACATTCAGGCTATCTCCCTGGAGAAACTGGTGGTTCCACCATTTCTGGCACAAATAAACCTCAGAGAGGTGGAGCTGGCTCCAGGAAGGTTGGCTGCACAGCAGGAGCCTAGGACAGAAGGCCCAGGGTCAAGAAGCTACACTTCTGAGGCTCAACAGCTGGAGCCAGATGAACACCCCTCTCTACTGGGACTCAGCAACTGGTCTACCCCATGAGGGAAGCTTGACACCTAACACTGTGCCTGACACATAGTAGGTCATCAATAAGTGTTTGCCAACTGCCTGGTCAACCAATGATGCCCTACCATGGGAAATGTGTGTCACAGGCCACCAAGGCCAGTGCTGTCAGTACATGTTGTAGTGTGAGCAGCTGACGAGGTCCCCTCTAGGGTATGTGTGTGTGAATTCAAAATTTGACCCTTGCCAACTTTAGTCCAGTGGTTCCTAAACTTTGTGCACAGTAGGATCATCACTGGGAGAGTTTTAAATGTCCTGATGTCCAGGTCTCACCACATCCCAATCTAGGAGTGAAAACCAGCATCAGTAGTTTTTCAAGAGTCCCAGGTGACTCCAGTGTGCAGCAAAGTACGGGAACACTGTGACCCTGGTAGAAGGATGTGGGACTGGAGTCAGGAAAGCCGGCTGTAGCCCTACTTTGCCACTCGTGAGCCCTGAATCCTTAGACATTAAGTTCACCACCTTTCTGAATCCACTGAATGGAAAGGGTACTAGATAAATATTTCCCAAACTACAGTTCCACAAAACCCTGCCTCTCAAAATGGTTCCATGGTATTTAATCATTTTAAATGGGTTTTTTTATTTCAGGATTTCTCGTGGCCTTTACAATGCTAATATATGTAGTGAATCTCCAATGGGTGATAAAGTGCACAGTATTTCACAAATTTATTTGACCGTGGGACCTTTTTTCCAAGGAGAACCTATTAACATTTCCAAGAACTGGTGCTGCAGAATATTCTTGGGGAAATTATGGACTCCTGGATTTTTAAGGCTCCTTCTGGCTCTCATTTTATTTTAATAATTTTAGATTTTGTATTCCCTCATACTCCTGTGGGAGCTGCAGACTGGTAATAATTTGTGGGGGGGTGAAATGTATGCTTATTTACAAGTATGAATCCAAGCTCCTCACGTGTGAGATTGTTGCTGAATCAGTGCCGTGCCTTTTCCTGCTATGTTGCTTAAAGTGTTGGCTGGCTGTGTTCTTTCCATCTGGTTGCTCTCTTTGATGGGCTGAGTTTAAAAACTTAAATGGAGAAGAGACTCTCGGTAATTAGGCAAATGACATATGGCTACGACTTTGAAGAACTCTCATTTGGGGCCCAGAATGAAGGCTGGCCTCCCCACCTCGCCCCTCTGTCTTTCCAGGGTGCACCCCCACCAGGCCTAGCTCTATGCAGATGTGGAGCTCAGAAATCAGGTGATCCAAACACCTCTGATCTCCAGGCAGTGAGGCCAGAAATCCGGACTCACATCATGGCAAAAGTGGGGAGGGAGCCTTGACTCTGACGCCCAGGCTAGACACAGGGGATGCTCGTCACTTACTCTGATGTCATCTCGGTGACCAGTTGAAGGGAGGTGAAGCCGGCAGTGAGGAAGCTGTCCCTGTACTGGACCATTTTGATGGCACTGAGCCAGTCATCCACGGTGGTGAAGGCCGCAAAATCTGGGATGGAGCGGTCTAGCAGGGGCTGGGAAGGCCTGCGGGACAGAGAGGAGCAGGTGAGCCCACACCTGCGGAAGTGTTTGGCTGACAGCCGCGCTCTGGGCAGAGGGCAGACTTCATGGAGGGCGGCGTCCCTGACAGGATGAGGACTGTGGGAGCCCTGTGCTGACCCTTCCTTCTGAGAGAAGCCTGAGTTGGCATGATTCTGAAGCCAAGGGGCCAATCTCCCTGGCCTTGGGCCCGGTCACATGTCAGGCAGCCCAGATAGGTAGACAGACACAGAATGGAGTCTGAAGGGAAGGGAAGACCCACAATTCCTTTGTAAACTGAAGTCTAGGAGCTTCACCATCCAAAGATACGGTCCTTTAAGAAATATAGAAAGCTCACAGCAATCTCCCCAAATCTATTGATAACAGTTTTTTTCCTGGTTCCTCAGTTAATTGAAATAAATGGAACAGAACAGCTCACCCTTGACCTTCTCTGGCATATTCTCAAAGCAGGCACCCAGCTACTCAATTTTGAAATCAGGATGCTGTCTTGACATATCCCTCAACCCTCAACACTCATGCCAATCCCCCTCACCAAATCTTAAAGATCTGACCTCCAAAATCTCTCAAATTCATCCACTTCTTTCCACATCTCTGCCATGAATTAAGACACTATCTTCTCTCACACGATTACTGCAGTATTCTCCTACCAGTCTTCATGCATGCTTGTTCCCCTCAATGTAAGGTCCACACTGTAGCCCAATGCTCTTTTTCTAAAAATGAAATGTGATCACGTCAATAATCCTCATGTCACCCCGATTCAGCTCAAACCCTTCAAGGGGTGCTCTCTGAATAAAGCCCAGAATTCTTAGCAGGGCCTAAAGGGTGCTG